GAGAACCCAAACAGAACGAAAAATGTACAGGAAGGGCCAATTCTCTCTCTTTTTGAGCTGGGACATCATCTTCTCCTGCCTCTGGATATTGGAGCCCTTGGTCCTAAGGCCTTCGGACTCTGCGAGTTACACCATCAGCTCCCCTGGTTGTCAGGGCTGCGAGCTTACACGGAATCACACCACCAGCTTCTCATCCTCCAGCATCAAACAGCACATTGTGGGACTTCTCAGCCTCCACAACCATGTGAGTCAACTCCTATAATAAATCTCCTCATATGTATCTATATATCCTATTGGTTCTGTTTCTCTGGAAAACCATAATACAGAAGGAAAATGAGCAGACATGAGAAGTAAAAGATATCAAGCTTACCTAATATAATTCAAAAGTTTTTGAATTTGACCTTTACTTAGTTCTCCAACCATAGGGATAGTCTACCATTCTATCCATAGTATGTAATTAGTGGGAATACTGTTGTTGGCTCACTATGACATTAACTTTACTTCTAAACCCAAAATACCAATGCAGTTTTATAACAGCAAAAGGCAGAAACCATCCTAGTGGAGTAGCTCATTTGGTTAGAGCATCATCCCAATATACCAAGGCTGTAGGTTCAGTCCCCAGTCAGTGCACATACAAGCAGCAGCCAAGGAAAGCATAAATAATAAGTGGAACAACAAATTGATGTGTCTTTCTCTCTCTCTCTCTCTCCCCCTCCCTTCCCCCACCCCTCCTTCTCTCTCTTTTCCTTTCTCTAAAATCAATAAATAAAAAAATTTTTTTTTTAATTTTAAAAAGAAAGAAATTGTTCTCCTCCTTGGTAGCTTGTAACTTCATTACAGAACTACCATTTCCTTGATACAGATGTGAAAATAGCTGCAGAGAATCTGGAGTATCTCACAGCTGTTTGAATACAACCTGATTTCATTTCATTTCAGCCCTGGTATCACTATCCTCAGCTCCCAAAAGGAAATTCCTAGGCAAGTTCTTGGGATATACTGTTGTGTGTGCAGGGCTTGGAACAGAGGATTGCTAGCCATACTACCTGAAGCAGGTAGGTTATCTAAGGGTTTAAAAGAACCTGCTTTCATATCATCTTGGGATTAAAATTTTCACCATTTTCACATCATCTTTGTTCAGAAACGCTACTAACTACCACAAACACTATGAGAGGGTAGCTAATGACTCATTATTTAGCTCCAGGCAAGTTCAGAGAAAATGAAAACTGGGACCGGATGTCAAGTGGTCCCAATACAAATGGTGCTGCATTGCTGAGATTTTACTTCTGAGGAGTATCAGCATGTGAGGTACCCTCTCTGGTCAGGCAGGCTGTCTGCCCTCGGAAGTTACGCATATTTGCTCTGACACTGATGACAAAGAGGTTTTGGTGTGGGTGACATGGAACAAAATGAAGTCGAGAAATTGATAGCTTTTTCAGGAAGCTCTACAGAGCATACAAATATTGTAAGACCTTTGTCGGGTCTGAGGAAAAAACAGAAAAAAGAACACCAACATCATAACAGAAAATTAGAAATCAATCACAAAAAGCCAGTCAAAACTTACAATAATTTATGGGTTGAAGAATATATAATGAAATTGACAAAATATTTAGACCAGAATTGTGTACATAAATGCATTAAAACTTGCAAATGCAACTGAAGTGGATATTTGAGGGAAAAATAAAAATTAATAAACTAAACTATCAGTTCAAAAGTTTAGGAGGATAAAGCGTAACTCCAAAGGAAGTAGAAAGAAAGAAAAAACAAAAAGCCTGTGTGAAAATAATGATATTGAAAAGAAACAATCAAAGCAACAAAACAAAAAGATGAGTGTTGGAAAATGGTCCTTTTTCAACCTCTACCCAGATTAACCAAGGAAAAAGAGCCAATATATGTTATGTACAAAAATAGGGACTGAACTGCAGATAAAATAGCTTTAGAAGAATAAAATGTGGTATATAATAGTGGGAATACTATAAAGACATTTAAAAGAACTCAATATACACATATCAAATGGGTAAGTCTAGAAAAATTCAAACTGCAGAAACATTCCTAGAGTATGTTACTCTTTGTGTAAATATTTAAAACATACTAAGCTATGTATACATTAAACATAAATGTACTAAAAGTACAAAACATGGAAAGAAACTCTCTCTCCTGGGCAAGAAAAATAATGGAGTCAGAAAGGAATACAAAGAAGCTTAACTGGTATAAGATGTATATATTATATTTATATGCTTGTGTTAATGCTGGGTTGTAGGCCCCTGGGTGAGATACTAGGCTCTGTATTCTTCTACACTTGAAATATCATGTGATTTAAAAAAAGCCACACAGACTGTATGAAATCCTGTTGAGCTCCTTTTACCTCTCATAGCAGTTCTCAAAGCATGTTCCTCTCACACATGACCAACGTACATCAGCTGGGAACAAGTTAAAAATGCAAATTTTCAAACCAACCCTATACCTACTGAATCGGAAACTCTGGCCTTGGGGCTGAGCACTGTGGATTAATTAACAAGTCTTCCAGATAATTCTGATCCCTGCTTAAGTCTGAGAGCAACTGCCTTAGAATAATGTTACTCTCAACTTTATTCAGGCATCAGACATCACCAGCAGATGCGGGGCGGTGGGGCGGCGGTTGGGGGGAGTTGGTGCATGTCAAAAATGTAGACTCCGATTTCATAGGTCCGGGATGGCGTCGTGGAATCTGCACTTGTGTGTGATAAAATTTAAAACCACTGATTTTGAAGGTAGATTTAACTTTTTGTGGCCATTCAATGAGCAGGCCACCACCTTTTAGAAAACTCTAGACTGAAGAAGAAATGCCTCATTCTGTACAACTCTCCCTTCCTGTTCTTTGTATTTCAGCCCCAGTCTAAAGGATACTTTAATCTAGTTAATATGCACAAAGAACTTAAGCTTTTCATTGTTTCAGCAGCCCCCTTTTTGTCACTAGAGGTACATTCGTTTCAAGAACGAAGTGAAAAAAAGTCCTTTTAAACTTTACAGTTTTGCAAAATGGTTAAAAACATTTCTACCAACAAGACATAAAATTTAAAAGTATTGTAGACAGAGCGTTATACCATTCTTATTTTAAGAATATGCATACTTATATTCTTATACCTGTATGTGATTACAATTTCTTGAATGATGGACAGAAACTTTAACACTGGTCATCATGGAGATGTATGTGTGGTTCTTAGAAGGTAAGGTGGAGATACTTTTTTCATTTTATATCCTTGAGCTGTTAAAAATCTTTTGCCACAGGTATTGATTATTTTTACATTTTACACTGTATTTTATTGATTCTAAGATGCCCTGTTCCATGTTTAAACAGTCCTGAAATTGGATTGTTACTTACATTCAATATGTCACAGTTTAATTGGCAGTATTTTTTCTCGCTTATGGTACATAAATGAAAAGAATGTCTTAAAATCAATGGCATCTTTTTCTTTTTTAAATCAAGGCCTCCTAAGATTGATGAAGATAGTATCCATTAATAGGGAGTGGAGAAATGTATCATCTTAATGGTCCAGATCTACTCTTGGATGTATTTTGCTTAGAAAACTCAATAAGGGAAATTTTGAAATAGCGTTATATAATTAGGTTATTCAGTCATTTATTGAGCTACTTCTATATACAACAAGGCACTGTGTTTTGAGGATGATGGGGGAACATAAGAAAGAATGAGACAGTTTCTACGGTATTTTCTCCACTGTTCTGAGTGTCACGGCTTCTGGGGAATGACACTCTCAATGAGAAATTCCCTTTATAAAACGGTTAGAAACCTGATCGGTGACTCTCAGCACGTTTGAAAGAAGGAGCTGCAACGACTTTCCTAGAATCGGCAGGTGGAGGGGGCCCACTTTCCCCTGCGGTTTAAGAGATGCGCCCACCAGCGGAGCACTTGCCCTCCGGGCATCGGTCTAGCTGGCTGCCCCGAGCTCCGCCCGCGCACAGGGGACGTCCCGGAAAAGGCTGCACAGGTGCTTCTGATGAGCGGCTCAGCGAGATCTGCGATTAGGGAACGAAAAGCCACTTCGGCGCGAGCTGGAGGAGAGTCTGCTCTCGCAGTCACGGTGTCCGTGAAGTAAGTACCTCCCGTACGAAACATCTAACTGCTAAATAAAGAGAAATGCTAAGAAATGTCAAGAATTCTGCCCAAACGTAGGCCCTTTCTCATAAGGAGGCAACGTGTCAATACAATATAAACTTTTAAATCCACTATCCATAAATTACAAAAATACGAGTCACTTTAAACCTTTCAGCCAAATCCCGAATTTCCAAACGGGCCGCAGCTCTCGGCCGGAGGTCCGGCGCTCTGCAAGGGGACAGGGAGGTCCCGGCCGGGCCGCGGGGCTGGCGCCCTGGGCGCATTCCTATCACGGAGGTCCCCTGCACACGTCTTTGCTCCCCAGGAGGATAATGAGAGAGGAAGGGGCCAGCCGCCCAGGCCGCGGGGCCGGATTCCAAGGCCCCCGCCACACTGAGTCACTGATATGTCGCGAGTCAAAGGCGCCCAAAGGAAAAAATGTCTCGTTTGGATTCCCTCGCCGGGCGGTACCCGGGAGCCCGGGGCGGCGGGGAGGGCGGGGGGGTGGGCGGCGGGGGGCGGGGTGGAATGACGGGAAGGGCGAGAGAGACCCCGCTCACTGCACAGCCGGGCAGGACGCAGGGGTGGGACGCAGGCGCAACTCAGTTTAGGGTCGCCGAGCCCCAGAACAGCTGAACCGCAGGGGAGAGACCTGCAGAAGTGGGGTCCGACGACCACGTCGAGGCTCACACTCAACGCCGGGGGGCGCTCTTCGCCGTTCGCGCTGCTCTGCGCCCGCGCGCTCCGCCCCTCCGCGCCCTAGTAGTGCCACAAGACACGCGGACCAGCGGGGAAACCGCGAGCCTTGTTCTTCTATCCACCCGCAGCGAGGGATCTGCTGGCCCGTCCGCACCTCCCGACGCAGGACCCGGGGGAGGAGAGAGAGAGTTTAGAGCCGGAGTCTGCCGGGAGGCGGGGACACCCTCTCCGAGCTGCACCGCGCTTTGCGCGCCGAGTTTGGGGACAATGGGACCGCGGCAGCTGCTGCTTGTGGCTGCGGGACTGAGTCTCTGTGGTCCCCTGCTTTCTGCCCGCACCCGAGGCCGCAAACCAGGTGAGAGCTCCCCAGGGTATTTCCTCCCAGCCCATCTCCGGCCCCGCAGCTGGGGTCTCCTTGGGCTTGGGGCAGGCGAGAGGCGGAGGTGCAGGTTGCGCCTTCTCCTAAAGGGGGTTGTCCCCGACCTCATACTCTGCCTCAGTTTCCTTCGGAAGGTAAACAGGCGTTTGGGCTGACGTCCAGATTCTCCCCCAGTCCTATCCAGGCGGGGTGTGCCCATCCACCAACCGTGCTTCGCGGGCTCAGCTGAAGTTCCTTCACACTTGGTTTCGGAGGATTCACCGGCCTGCGAATAGGGTGTTAGATATGGAGGAGGAGGGGGTAGGATTTTCCTGGAGAAGCCTGCGGTGCCTCCATTGCATTTGTTGCCACTGTTACTTCCAGGACCACCCCAAAAGAGTCTCACATTGCTCCGCCAGTAGACGTTCTGGCCTTTTCAATATAAAGCGGAGACGCGCTCCCGCTGAAGTTTTGTTTTGTTGGATTTTTTTTCCCCCTTGCGCATTTTACAGGCAAGGAAGGTGGTGTAGAGAAAAGCTCGGTGCCTTAGCACGTTTAGTAGAAAATAAGTTCCAGCAGCCCCTGGCACAGGCCTTGGGCGCCGGAGGAGCTCGTGGGGTGGGATATTGGGTGGTTACAGGGAAGCCACAGGGCGGTGGTGGTGATTGGGAGGTTGGTTGGTTACCTAGAACCCTGCCTTCCAAGCGAGTTGAGGAAAGAGATCCCTTCCCAAAAGCTGGCTCTATCAGACATCATGGAATTTCAGTATTTCGGTTTCTGATCTGCTGCAAGCTGGAGGTTGCTCACCACGAATAGTGTATTTTTAAGTATCCAGCCTCTTAGCCAAATAAATTTATTTTTCAACCTCTCCCCGCCCCCTCCCCAAAAAAGCAGAGTTGTTTTTAGCTTCTAAAAACTAGATATAAAGTGAGGAAAAAAATGTTTTAGTGTCTTTGTAGCAATAGTACTTTATAAGCTTTAGGCCACTTCATGCAGAAACAAAGTCTAGCTTGTTTAGTTATCTGTGAAAGATTGCGCGCCATTATTTTCACACTGAAAATAGTGTAGGCACATCAAGATTAAGCGGTGACAGCATTTTCTGTGCCTTCTATCTTTGCTCGGGGTAGTTTTGAGGTGATGCTTTTAGGAAAAGTAAGAGTCCCAGACAGGAACATGATCTCTTGGAGTGTTTGGGGAAACAGTGAGATCTGAAAAATTGTGTATGGTGAGATGTGATGTCAGATAGCACTTTGTAATTTTATTTTGGAACAAACTCTTAAAAATACGAAGTTTTTTTAGAGATTTGGATGGTGGGCGGAGAAGAGGTTTATACAAAAGCTGCACCACCTTAGTCACCTTTCCTCCTGGTGAAATATGTTTGGCCAGTTAGGGGGTGCAGTTAAGGCTGCTATTTCTGCCACTCCTCTTCACTTTCTCATCAACCTAGGTGGTGTGTGCTAAGGTGCCCCGTGCTGGTGTAAACAGAAAGGTAACCTAGCAAACATTGGCTAAGTCATCGACACTGGGTTCCGGAACCACTTTGTGAGGAAGAGAAGTGGGTGAGAGAAGAAAAGGAACGCATGTTAAGTGCCATATTCAGTGTCAAACCCTGGGCCATGAGGCATTTTTACTTCAGATGATCTGATTTCACCTTCCCAAAACACGCCGTTAGGTGGGTGTTTATCCGCAGTTGCCACTTCTGTCTCTAAGGCTCAGAGACAGCGGACGGATATTCCAAATGGAGGAGGGAGGGGCCCGGGGTGCAGGCAAGCAGTGGGACGTTGTCTTCAGAGGGTGTGAAATCACTAATAAAACTAATTAAATAATGGGTTTGCTTTCTATTATCACTGTACCCTGGCAATTCTAAACAATGTCTGTCATAACCAGCTCTATGTAGTTATGAGGGTCTGTGAGACCCCAGCCATAGGAGACCCTGCCAGGGCTGGCTCTGCTCAGCAGTTTGAGCCTTGCGTAAGTGCTGGCCTCCTTTTTGTCCCCACTCCTTTTGGCACTTTCTGCACTGTCACTTTGTGGGTAAGTCATCTCCCTGGCTAAGATCATAAACTACCATTCATCCCCATGAAGCCTAGAACAAATGTTAGCTCAGCAGATATTTACTCAGAAATTCTTATGTTCATTAACCAGTTTACATTCCTTTGTCCAAGCAATTTAAGTGAGATGACTTGCCTGCATCTAAGAGGACCAGCGTCTAAGAGATAATGTGTATAAATTTTGTAAGGACCCTGAGGGTGAAAGGGTTCAAGGATTAACGGTGACTGTAGCAGAGGGGATTGGGTGGGAGATTCCACACACTGCCCTCCTGGCCCACGGGGTCAAACCCAACTTCTTAGTCCAGAGCGGGGTCCCTTCCCCTTGCAGGGTGGGTCCCCAGCCTCTGTCTAGCCTCCCCTCTTATAGATCCTCTCCTATTGCATAATCTGTTTCTATTACCTGAACTTCACCCAGCCCCCCTTTCTTGCTCCTCTCCCAGGAGCTAAGCTTTCTCTGGCTCTGTCCCCCTGCTACTCCCTCTGGCCAGAATGCCCTCCCCACACCCCACATGTTCACTTTGAATTAAAAACAGCTACCTTATATCAAGAACCTATTACAGCCAACACTCTGCTTAGGTACATTGCATATCCTACCTTATTTTCTTCTCATAACAACCCTTTGCGTAGGTGTCATCCCCATTCTTCATATAAAGAAATTGAGACCCAGAATGGTTAAATCACAAGTCTAGCGTGGAATTGAGATCAGAGCACAGGCCTGTCTTTCCTCAGTGCAGCCTTTCTCTACCACCCATATCGGGAGGAAGCCTTGCAGACTGGCAGCCCCTCTTGCAGTAGAGAAATCACTGTGCTCCCACGTCCCCTAGAAAAGTCTGTGCCCCATTGACTTGGTAGCCCAGGCCTAGCACAATTACGCAGGATTTATGCATGGGTTGTGGTATCCTACCATTTGCTTTAGAAAACATGATAAAACAGGCTATAAATAGATCTCTATTATGAATATGCTAATTAATTGGCTGTTACTGAGAGATTGTGGCCTTAAACCCAAACAAAAGACAAAACTGGACAGTGATTCAGCTTTAAGTAGACTAGAAACCTCTGAAAGTCAAATTTCTTATGAACCAGCAAGTCGTTTTCTACTCCAATATTTACCTAAATTCTTCCCTTCCTCCCGTTTTTCCTTCCTTCCCCCTCTCATAAATGCATGTATTTGTTCACACCTTAGTGATTTTTTGCTTTATCTTTTTATTTTTTTTAAGGTGTTTTTTTTTTCATTCTCACCCGAGGACATACTCCACTGATGTTGTTGGGGGTGGGGGGAAGAAAGAAATATCAATGTGAAAGAGAAACTTAGATGTGTCGCCTCCCTTATGAACCCGAAGGGGGGGAGGGGGGAGGGCGAGGAGCAGGGGAAGAATTGAACTGCAACCCAAAGATGTGCCCTGACCGGGAATCGAACCCGAAACTCCTTGGTGCAGGGGACGACATTCCAGCCACCTGAGAGGGCCGGGCTTTATTTTTATGGGACATATTAAGATAGTAAGTTCTCTCCTAATTCATCCATTCTTCCTTTATGCGAGGGCATTTTTTGCGGCATTCCCGTCCCTCTGTCGGGGGCATGCTCGTGTCATCTCTGCTGGCCCCTTTTCTCCCCCTCCATCTTTCTCATTCAGCAATTCTCAGTTCTTCATGTCTAACAGGAGCAGTGAGCTGTGAACCCTAACTTGCAGCCTCTCAGCAGCTCTGAATTTGCTCCTTTCCAAAGTGCTCTTAGCCAGTCTCCTTCCCTGCGTCCCTTCTGCCCCTTCCGTCCTCACTCCGTCAGCTCAGCTTTGTCCTTGGCACCTTCAGCAACTGGAACTCCATCCGGCTTTGAGCTGCAGTTCCACCAAGTCAGTGGAGTCCCCTGGACCCTGCGTTTCTAATCTTCCCACTCTCCTCATTTTGGACATACTTCCCTCTCTTCCCTTGAAACTCTACTTTCTCTCCCCTGCCCCCCCCCTTTTAAATTGAGGTAAATTATATATAGTATAAAATTAGCCATTTTGAAGTATATGATTTAGTAGTATTTTGTACATTTACGATGTTGCGCAACTACCACCTCTGTCTGCTTCTGAAACACTTTCATCACCCCGAAAGGACACCCTGTACCCGTCAAGCACTCAGCCCTCGTAGTCCCTGTCCCTAGCAACCACCCATCTGTTTTTCATCTCTCTAGGTTTCCCTCTGCTCCATGTTTCATATAAATGGACTCGTTAGTTCATAGCCTTTTATGCCTGGGGAACTACCCTTTAATGAGTTTTGGCGAGGCCTGGGCGTCCCCTTTGCTCTGGGATGCTCACAAAACACCCTAGATGGTCATTAGGAACCCGGGCCTTGGTTTGTTTTTGACTGTGAGGCTAGTATTGAGCACTTGGCAGTTTCCACATTCAGAATTTTCTGGTTTTCTATTTTGTGGTTTCTTTCATCCTGCCTTTTGCCCTTTGTGCTGAGGCCCAGACTTTCAGAGTCAATAGCTCTCCCTATAGGCTGAGGCTGTTGTTTCTGGATTTGAGCTCCCGCTCTCCCGTGCGTACGCTCTCTCGCACGTTGATCGCGTGATGGTGCTTGGAGAAACCCCCTGACATGCTCCTTTCCCTTCATCCTGAGATGGCCAATGAAGTTTACCATTTATAAGGTCACCACAGGCCTTTATACATTTCTATATTTGCTTTCAAAAGAACCTGCCTTTTGAAATAACAGGAATAGTCTAAAATTTGCACTTGAAAACAAATTTATTTAATGTTAGGAATGGACGCTAAATGTATATAATCTATTTATATCTCAAGTTTGTGATGAATTAGAAGTCAGATATTAAATCATTGTAGAAGAATGTTTTCCAGTATTTTCTTTTTTTGCTAACAAACAGTAAGATCTGTAAGAAATACACTTTCTGGTGAGACACAGTAGCTGTGTGTGTTCAATAAATACACATGGACCTTCACAGTG